TAGCTCACAGCAACCTCAAACTTCTGGGCTCAAGCGATCCTCCTGCCTCAGCCTCCCAAGTAACTGGGACTACAGGCATGCACCACCATGCCCTGCTAATTTTTTATATATATATATTTTTAGTTGTCCAGCTAATTTCTTTCTGTTTTAGTAGACATGGGGTCTCGCTCTTGCTCAGGCTGGTCTTGAATTCCTGAGCTCAAACGATCTGCCCACCTCGGCCTCCTAGAATGCTAGGATTACAGGAGTGAGCCACCACACCTGGCCATTTGGGGGCTTTCGAAACACATTAAGCTTTATGTGTTTAGGTCAGAGTTATTAAAGAGGTAGAATGGGCTGAAAGCTTATGGAGCCGGACAGGCTTGGGTTCGAATCCTGACCATTTCTTTTCTAAATGAGCAAAGTTGGATGAAATTCTCAACCTCTAGAGCCCATTTTTCCATGGATAAAGTGGAAAAATATCTATACTTTGAACGATCATTATAAAGACTAGAGGTAATGACCTATTCTCATTAATTTATCACATTCAAATTGAAGTAAGAACTCTTGGCAGAGGGTGTCTTATTCCCAAAACATACCTAGACCATTTCTGTAGTGGATCAGTGGCTAATGTTGACTAAGACTTCATCTATTTCTTCTACCTGAATAATAGGTAGGATGGTAAGTACTTATGCATTGTAAGGTTGATGTAAGAATTAAATGAGAGAGCCGTGCCTGGCACATAGAAGTATGGGTGAAGATTTGTTCCTGTGCCCTGCAATCCTAACGAGTGAGTCTCCTGCCTGTCTGGAGGACAGCAGGAGAATGAGACAATGGACTCTTTCCTCACCGTATCTCCAACAAGGACAAAGAGGTGGATTTCATTATCACTTCCTCATTGACCAAAATAGCAATAACAGATGGTCACAGCCAAGATTCCCATGGCGATAACTTAGCTGGGGATCTATCCTAGGGTACATATTTGTCTTAAAGGAACACATTGAACTACCCAGGGAAGATAAGAGGCTGATCTAAGGGGCTTCTGGTTGTCCTTTGCCAACCAAGAGAATATCCTCACCTGTACTCACTCTTCTTCCTCTAGAATGAGGTCAGCAAACTACCTTATTTGGCCCTAGTCAAATTCTGCTTCTACCTGTTTCTGTAAATAATTTTTTTAATACAGTTATACTTGTTTGTTTACGTTTGATCTGTGGCTGCCTTCACACTGCAACAGGGCAGTTGAGTAGTTGCAACAAGGCTAAATATTTACCCCTGCTCTAAAACTTGAATGGATTTATCAGAAAGGGTTTGACATGTTTGCAGCTCTGAGTTCTAGAATTTTAATGCCCCAGAGTTGTTATTCTCACTGTGACTGGGTTTTCTCATAAATCTATTTTTATTCAATCAGTTAAATCAGCACTTATTATGGAAAAGTTTAAGGTGAGGGCTAGTGTAATTTGGAAAAGCTATAATGGAGTTTGGTCTGGGTATTGTTGAATTTGAAAAGATTGGAAGGTTAGGAACCCACATGATTGTAAACACATAAACAAAAAAAAGAGTAGATCTAAAAGACAGCAGGGAAAACGGCCAAGTAGAAGAGGAGAGACGATGGGAAACAGACCCAGTTGGCACTGAAGGGACATGGTAAGGTATGAGAAGCCAGACAGAGAACTTTAGCTCTACTGTGGGAGGCTGTCAGTTGTTCTTGTACATTCCTGAGAAGAATTAAATGAAAGCAATAGTTTTGCAAGGCTAGCCTAAGAGAAATTTTAAGGAGACTGGACCAAGAGAGAAGGCGGATTGAGGTACCCATAAGAAAACTATCACAGAAATATTTATGTGAGGTCTCAAGATGTAAATGGATGGAAGCAGAAAACAGAAGGAAAGGGAAGGAACAAGAAACTAAGTGATTTAAGCCAAGGGATAAATGTAAGGGGTAAGTCATCAATGACTGCAATTACCTATTTAAATATGTCTCTTCAACTACCCTATAAGCTCCTTGAGAGGGACACCAGGTCTGTGCCTGACATGTAGTAGACAGGCGGCAACTCGGTATTGGCTGAAAGGAAGAAAAGAGGTGTAGCAGACATGGGGGGCGGGCAGGTTGATGTGGACAGTGGATGAGAAGGTGGGAACGAGGAGTTCACCTTTGAGACATGCTGAGCTTGAGACAAGGCTGCTTGGATGTTCTTTCTGTGCCAGAAAGGCAAATTAGATCTAAGCAGTCAAAACAAATGTAAATATTGTGCCTAGGATTTTGTCATAAGGAAAACTATCTTTGTTGCAGATGCTTAGTATCAATTCCGGGGTGGGGAGAGAACAACTTATCATTTCTAACTTTGGAAAGCTCTCCTAACGAGATAATAGGCATCCCCTCTTTAATGGGCAAGATGCTTTCCAAGGCTATAAAGTTTCCACTCAAACCTCTCTTTGTAAGGAGAACACTTGATTAGGTTAGTTTATGTTCCCTTCTCCAATCCCTTGAAATTCAGTTTTTTTGTTTTTGTTTTTGTTTTTGTTTTTGGTAGTGGCTTGTACATTTTTCCATTTAATAAATGCTTAAAGATTGCTGCTGTTTTATAATTGTCGTAAGTGCAGATAAGTTCAGGGACTAGATAACATCCCACTTTGCATGCACACGGTTACTCTCTTACATACCTGCGCTCTGGCATGCTCTCTGGCTCCCCCAACCCCGCCCTGCCCGATTAGCTTGATCCTAAGCAGATAAGTAGTCCACAAATGGGCTATTTTTAATTGTATGGAACCTCACAGAAGGTAGTAAATAATTAAGGAGACACGACTGAGAATGGCTTCAGTCAGACACAATTTGCTGATTTATTTTCAGACTAATTCCCAACATGGCTGTTGGCTCACAGCATTGGCTACAAGCAGATTTATGTACACTTTTGTGCATTTCCTAGGTAGGAAAAAGTTCTTACTTTTGATTTGAAAGTGAGACTTAAGGAGAAGGGAAAGCCCTTTACGTCTTTGTGAGAAGAACTTGGTTTAAAACCAATTTAGACCACTGTCTATGTAAACCTCCTCCCCTGAATTTAATAAATTCCTTTTAAAAGTGTTTTACCCTCTAACAGAAAGCCTCAGATCTAACAGTCTTTACAAAGATGAGAACACAATTTGCTGCCTTTTGTAGTTGTCTATAGAAAGAGAAAGGCTGGAAAATTAATTCTGTAGAAAGGGAGGTGAGGACCTGTAGCCTATTTCTTTTCCCATGAAAGCCTTAAATTACTACCAAGCCGTAAGAATCGGTTGACTAAGTTACCCAAGGTTATATAACTAGTGGACTGGTGAACATTTGGAATGTGTCATGCTCAAGGATGGAAACAAGTCCATACCTCGTCCCTCCTTCAGGTTTCTTGGCTTCAGAACTAGCCCTGGGCTGTGAACTCATTTCTCTGAATCCTTCTAACAAAAGCTGTTTAATCTTCATAGTAAATGCTTTGTTGTGGAAATTTTATTTTGTTCCTTGTCCCCAACTAATCGTGATGGTCATGGGGCTAGCTGACAATTACTGGGAGAGCTAAGAGACAGGCACTGTGATGAGAGCCTTACCTAATTCCTCATATTTAACTCTTGAAGCATTCCCACGAACTAGGTACATTTTACAGATGAGGAAACTGAGGCACGGAGGCTAAGTTGCTCAAGGTTGCATAATTAGTAAGAGGAGAAGGTGGGACCTGAGTGCAGGCAGCATGACTTCAGAGTGTATGCTGTTGACCACTGTGCTGAGCTGCCAGGTGTGCAGTGACTCCCCTTGTTCCCATTTTGCAGCTGAGCAAATTGAGGCCCAGAGGTATTAGGCAGTTTGCTCAGCTTCCACCGATGCAGAAGTTTCAGAATAAGGACTAGAATCCAAGTTTCTGACTCTTCGTCAGGGGCTCTTTCGGATACAATGCTCCAGTCAACTTTTCTCCAGGGTAAGATTAGACATAATTATGCAGTTTCAAGCTGTGATGTAAATTTAAGCAGGGACTTCTGTCCACCAGGATTGGTGTGTCCTTGACAGTCTTTTAGGAGACAAGAGGATGGAATGGGAGCATTTTAGGAGCTGCTGAGGCAGTAATTTTTCTAGTTCCCAATCTGACCCAGGAGACTGTGGGTCAAATTTAACTGGGATATTTCACACTTGTCGATAAGAGTCTGTGATTTGGGGATGGCAATGGTGGGGAAGATCCCAAAAGAACCCAATCTCCTGAGCTTAGGAAAATGGGCTGCTCTCTTTAGAGGAGCGTCGTGCAGGCATTCTGTGGGGTGCCTGCAGCAGGAAGTGTGGGAGGGGAGGTCAGCTCTGGGAAGCCTCATCTCATGATTAAGGATGAATCTGTTCCCTCTGAGGAGGATCCTTTCTCTCCCAGCCTCGTGCTTTCTCAGAGACTGTGGGGCAGTTTGGCAGGCTCAAATTGTTTCGAGGACAAAAGGTTATTGTCACCAGGATCTTCATAATGAAATT